CATATAATTTTAGTTATTTCGTGGTTTGTTGTTATGCCAGATACTTAATACCTTTAATATAATTATTCAGTGTATTACAGACCTGCTATCAAAGACCAATTCATTTTTATTTATTGCTTAGTCTGTGATATTATTAATTCTACCCGTTGTGCATAATTTAAATAACAATGTAAAGTAAAGAGTGTTTTGTCTCGAGCTGTAAATACGTTCTTGTACATTTGTGGATGTTAATTCACAAAAAGAAGGTTCATGAGAGGTATAATCTATGTCTTATTACGTATTTCTCTCGTTAGTTACTTGTATGGTGTATTTTGTATATACAAAAAGTGTTCGTCATGCTTTCGCGTGCGAGTGCGATGTCATTTGACAGCGATATCAGTTGACAGTCACGCAAATTGAAAGCACTTTACAACTGCACGTGCTCGTGTTTTGTCCAGAAAAGCATGTTTTCTTCCAAATATCTGCGTGGGCAGTATTTATGCACGCATATTGTTAAAGTAATGACTTATTATTGTTTGTAAGAATGCAGAATGGTGATACTCTTTTTTAAAAACAAGCAATTCAGAAAAGCAAATGGTACTTTTAAAGACTTATTGATTATCTTTTTTTAATTGATTGCAAGGGAGAGCTGGATGTTTCCATTCTTATATCGTTAAATAGTCCCTAGTTTAAAAAATGTATTATTTTAATCAGCCTCGAACCTAGTGGTTTCCTGGAAAGAATTTGAAATGTGTCATTTTGTGCCAGAGAATTATAGTGTAAAATGAACAACATTTGTCCATAAAATGATTATGAATACCTGAATACTATCAGTAACGGTTACAACATAACGTCATCAATGAATATCTTTGATAAAATTTGAATTTTGAATTTATGAACAGCAACGATTTTGATCATAAGAATTATATAATTTGACTTTTTATGTTAAGTTTTAAGGAAATGAAATCTTTTCTTTTATTGTTTCAGTTGAACTTAATGCAAAAAGCCCTTTGAAAGAAAGAAAACGGGTTGTCATATCACCATTTATTTAATCTGAGCCTACATTTTGATGAACTTTTACAACGACATTTCTAATTCCATTAGCTGAACTCAATTTTACTTTTATATATGTTTACGTACGAGATGGAAGTAACATAAAGTAACTTACTGAGAGACAGATAGGAGTGTGTATGAACTTTTACTGTAAAAACAGTTAAAATAAAAGAAAATTCCTGTCTTACAAGGTTAACAAGACAATAAGATCGTTACACCAACGCTCCGGGGAAAACATTGTGTCGTTTAAAAATGTACATTTTAACTTTAAAAATATATAATGTAATGTAACACGCCGTACGAACACCATCATCGGATGTCTCTAAATTCAGAAAATTTCACCATTTTTGTGTTTAAATGTTGAATTCAATTTCAATTTTGTCGTTTGGGGCGTTCTTAAGGGATTCCATTTTATATCTATTATACACATATAATGAAGCAATTTGAGCCATGTCATTACAAAACCAACAAAGTGCGTTTGCGACCAGCATGGATCCAGACCAGCCTGCGCGTCCGCGCAGTCTGATCAGGATGCCAATGCTGTTCGCTTACAAACTATTACAAGTAGAGAAACTGATAGCGAACAGCATGGATCCTGATCAGACTGCGCGGATGCGCAGGCTGGTCTTGATTCATGCCGGTCGCAAGCCCATTATGTTGGTTTTGTCGTGACGCGGCTCATATTTTGCGGAGACGTGTGACGTTCATAAACGCATCAATAACAGAATGTCATCCTTCATTACAGTATAATGCCACTCGACATTTCCGGAAATTCTGTTTTATTATTTCATGTATATGATTAAATATGAATTTAATTTGCAAAAATGTAACTTATTTGTATCGATCATAATTAAGTTTAGTTTCAAGCAGAAATTCACTCTGTCGCATGTAAAAATGATAATTACAATACAAGTAAAAATCTGCGTACTGCTAAAATGTTGGTTTAAACATAATTATTTAAGCTTGATTGCGAAAACAAGTTCTTGCAACTTATATTAATCACTTTCGAGTCCGCTTCTTGAACCAACCGGTACTGGAGTTATATGAAGAAACATGGTCGTGACCCTATTAAAGCTTGAACCCATGATCCACGGGTTGAGAGGCAGACACCTTAACCACTAGGCCACCGCCCCTGCTAAAATATATCAAACATTTAGAAATGTTATATTTCAATATGAGAATTGTAAATTTGTGCGTTTGTGACAATTTCAAACTTATATTGATTCGAAAGCAAACATAGCCTATCGTTTGATTACGTGATATTTAACGAGGCAATGTAAACTGACCTTGATATCAGAAATATTTCTATATCATATTATCTTTTCCTTTAACTGTGGGGCAGAAATAATGTATTGTTTCAACCATTTCCGATCCAGCAGTTTCCTGTAAATATTTCTCCATTTTACTGATAGCGTTTGGAACCGATTTGTTTCTATATAGCGACATTGTCTTCCGCAAGACAAATTATATAAGATCAATTTGGCCTATACCGGATCCATGACGCTGTGGCTGCTTTCGTTGTATTTCATGTCACATCGACATGGCGACTTTCCACCTTTAACTGGTTAGGGAACCTCAGATGTCCTTTCGTGCATTTTTTATGAAATAATAATAAATTGCTATTACTACAAAAATATTTTGCATTTTTTAAAATATTCATTAAGATAATTCAAGGTGGTTGTTTCATTCTTTAAAACTATTTACTAGAAAGAACATTATTTAAATCTTTCTGAACATGTTTTTTTACCTTAAAGATAGAGAACTGTTTATCGATAGTGGTATTTCGACAAATTTCGTGTCGGTGGTCTTATCGTCTGTGATTTAAAAATTTCATTTGTATTAATGTGACAGGTAAGAATATCACGATATTAAGGGACGTTGAATTTGTTGTGGAAAGAAATCTTGCCGGGTAGGTAACGGAAGGTCGGTGGTTCGGTGGTTCTTTCATTATGTTGTTCTAGCATCTGATAGTAAAATTAATGGCAATTATATGTCATTACTCTTATGTAGAGATTTGACTCCGTATGAACTAAACATTGCCAGTGTGTAAAAACCAAAGGAAATATAAAAAGGTATTGATCACAAAGCCGTGTCGCTTTTGCAATTCCGTAAAGGATGGTATTAAACGACCGAGAATATATTTTGACTTGACGTCAGTTGTGTTTTACAAACATAGCGTTAAGACGCCATATAATAGCTTTACACTATACGCGCATCAATGACAATGTGTTTTTCTTACTGTAAACAGTCCTTATTTTTTATACCTGATAAATAGAATATTATAATCGTGTAGGTTCGCTACTTGTTTAATGAAATAACATTATGCTCGCCACAGACTTCCACATTATATATTTATTCAACTCCTTCAATATTTTCTGGACTGGCCATGCACTTCCTCTTTACCCTCTATATATCAAATTGAGTTAATATGATAAAAGTTCGATGTAGGCGTATTGGCATGATGATATTTAATTAAGATAACGTTTCTTATGAAAACATTTAAGAAATCATTTGTGAAATTAAAACTATTGAGTATTTCATTTTATCAGTATAAGTTTGTTTATAGCTATTTACAACTATACAGTTTGGTTAAGCTGTAGATTTATAGTTCCTGGTTCAACTGATGTATCCTTTCAACAGTTTCCTGGTTTCCAGGAAAATATCTCGTTTAACAGATTGCGCAAAAGACTGCATTGATATTTTAACAACAATCCTACTTCCGTCTTAAGAATGGCATGTTGTTTTACTCTCAAACTGTTATCCATTGTAGACAACTTCCTGACCTATTGTTAAATAGTCTGTTACAGTATAATGAAACACGACCAACTCACTTTATCTTCAAAACTGTTGGTGTTTAATTAAGTAAAAATGTATCTTATTAGACGAAGTTTATTCAATGAACTAGTAAGATATCTTTGTTTAATATATTTCTTCTTATTGCTGTCATGATCTACAACAGTAGCGTTTCACTGATTATCCCAATGTTTTATTTTAAGGGCATAAAGTAATAAATGGCAAAATATACTATGACAGAAAAAGTATTATTTTGTTGTTTATATGTTAATCTGGGGATAATGTTAACCAAATCAGAAATCTTAATTAAGGAAAAAAGTGCAAATACTTTAGAATAATTTAGAGTATGAATCCATTCAGCGTTCTGCAGGACATTGTGGGGTTATTCTCGTCCCTGGCACTGCTTGTAACACTTCCCCTGGTCCTTCAAGTATCTTCGATATACCCCGGCACTGCTTTATGCTTCCCGAAAATACTTTTAGTAACCGTAAAACTACAATACCGCTTTATATTTATTTATTTTATTCTTATTTTTTATTATTATTTTATGTCTGGGTGTGCAAAAGCAGTATATTCTTCGACAAATATAGAAATTTATTTTTAAAAAATACAACTTTTTTGGACAATTTACGTAAATTGTTTTACGACATCACATTTTCGCGCGTTTATTTCTCGGGTCGGTTCAATATTTTCAGACACCACTGGGCACATGTTTAAACTTCCCCGGCTCCCTTTAAGTAGTTTCCGTGGCAATAACCCAACGACCTTTATCAAGCAAGTTGCTTTTCAGTTGACGGACCGTATTAATTTGAATTTAATAGAAAATCCTTTAGAAACTGAATATAGACAGACAAGTCCATCCATTTAAAATATTATGCGGATATGGCTAAAAGGTTGCGGATAGTAGAATGGTTTAAGTAAAGCACTTATTGCCGGAAGTTTTTAATTAAGTCAAAATCGTCAAATTATTTTACAAAAGGAATACACTATTCTTATTCACAAAAGATAAGTAGTTTTTTAAGGCGTGCTCTTGTGCCTCAACTTCCACCTGTGTCATTTCTTTATAAATATGCTTCTAGGCAAATACGAAAAAAGCAAAACACTTTCCGGTGGCTCAAATCTGTTCATATAATAACAAAATATTTAAATTAAAGAAATGATCAGAAATATTGAAGTTTATACATGAATACTTTATTGCAATTCCTGTTTAATAGAGGTATACAAATATCACAAAAACATGGATATATATATTTATGAGATATAAATTTTGGACGAACATAAATTGTTTTCTAGACTCTCTACATATATGAATAACATCTCCATTATATCTTCTGAGATTTGTTAAAGTTTAATCATGAAATTCAAAGTTTAAAATATCCAACCGATACATGCAAAATATATTAAATATTCATTTATAATACATCACATAATCATTCATTAAAAAATCATGTGCACACATTTTACCATTCATTAAAACTGTTTTAAAACCCATAACAGAATTAATTAAAACAGAATTAATTAAAACACTTATTAAACACACATTTCAACACTCATAACATGAATAGTGACTGACATGACATTTCAAACAAATAGGTACCTGATAAGACGCTAGGGAATCGGTGTCTAAACTGGTACTAAGGTGTCTGCAGTGGCTATTGCCAGGTTCTTTCAGCAGGTTAAGTGTTACAATATTACATACAAACACTCATTTCAACTCTTTGTGATAGAGTGGTACTGGTTAAATGAATAACAAAACAAAATAGAAACTTTCACATTCTGGTGACAGTCATATCACTCGAAGAAGAAGAAACTCAATACGAAATATTAGGTTTGTTGGCAATATTGGAGAATACGATAACAAAGAACATTCTACACTGACAAAACAAAGGTTCTTAAAAAAATTGAAAATGTTATAATTGATTTCTAAACTCAAAAAGGTCTTTCAAAATTGCTTTCAAACATTAAAGAAAATATGTTTATCTGCTTACGGATTGTTGACTAATATGGCTTTTAGCATTGAGCTGTATGATACATCAAAAATTTGAAGTAAGTACATTTATTCTACATTCTTGAAATAGTTTATATAACATATAGCCTTACAAATACCTAAAACTTGTAAGAAAACGATATTAAGTCATACAAGTAAAAGTTCTTAAACAAATATAAAGTGTTAAGTATTTTTAACATTTAACATCATGAAGCACTTATAATCGCTTCTGTCGATAATTAGATTGCTTTCGAATGATATTTGTTAAATTCAAAGAGACTGCAGCAATACATAAAAATGATATTTCTCTTTTCATGTATCCTTCAAAACAAAAGATATAAGAAGTGTAGAAGCTATAGAAGAAAAACCATAGAAATATTCTCTGAAGATATTTTAGCAGATCTTGTTTATCTTTATTCATTCATTTGCATTAATGATACTGCACGTAACAATAAATACATCTAGATAAAAACCTATGTAGACACTATTTCAAGTGTTCTTAAAATAGGCGTATCCTTTGCGTTTGATAAATTGTGCTATATGTAGAATCTAGCGAATCGTATATTAAATTGTAATACTGCAGTTAAAGTATTAAGACAACGTCAACACATAGACACACTGTGGTAACTTAGATGATTTATGACTATTCCCTGTAGGTTTTATACAATATCATAAATTCAAATTTGCACGATACTGATAATGTGACATGTCCCATGGTTGTTATACATCCAGGCGCATATTTTGATATATTCGCTGAAACTGCATGAATTTTAAATACCGCAATCCAAAAAAAATCCTTATCTATTACATCGTTTGTATTTAAAACCAAATAAAATGTATGCTGTACCCCAACATGCACAAATAATGACAAATATGAAACACGTCATCCAAAGTAAAACTTTCAGCAGTAGGTATAAACCTTTACCATGCCATCATTTTGCACAATGATGAGCCGGCTGGACCCGCTAATCATTACGGCACAAGGTCTTTCTAAACCAGAATCTTTCACAAGAACGTATCTCTGAAACACACCGTTACTAGTTAGAAGCTGGATACGGTCGTTTGAATTGTCAGCTATGAATATATTTCCAATTTTATCTACACAGACCCCTTGTGGGTTTTTAAGATCGTTATGTCCTTTGTACGTGTAAATACAATGACCACGACTGTCTATACACTTAACCGCATTTAGACCTATATCAGACACAATTATTGTCCCGTCAATAGAAGCTGATAGATAGCGGGGTTCCTCAAACAGAGGTTCGCCTGTATTGTCGTGTACGATCGATTTCAGAACCTCGCCGTCTAACTGAATAATATCAATACATCGCTCTCTCATACAACTGGTGACAAGATAGCTCTCGGTTTCTGAGTACGAGATCCCATCGTATTGTCTCTCAGTCTTAGTTTTCTTGATCAATGTTAATGATTTTCTTGTTGAGATGAATATGATAAGACGACCAATTAATGGTACAGCTACGTCACTGCCATTTCCGCATGTTGTTATGTCACGTGGCTCATCATCTAATTGGATATGATCCACAAGTTCTCCTGTTTTACTGAACTTTTGTATACGTTTATTTTTGCAATCGGTGACAATGATATCATCATGAACTGTACATGTCACGCCCCAACATGAAATTCCATCATCTGCACCAGTGTCAATACGGAGTTCTCCGAGCGTTTTCATTTCATCCAGGTAAGTCAGGGAACCTTCATCTGGAAAGAACTCCAATTTCACCTTTAATCTTTCTGGATTGATATCCCCAACTTGAGCATTGTAGTCGTCAATCTGCTTACGAATTTGGTTAAATGCCATTAGTACTTCTACATCGCTTCCATATTTCAATAAGTTATTCATGCGCTGACTTGCTGACTTTGCAGTTTTCATTTGCAACTTTCTCGGTTCTGTTCTATCCTTAAGGAGTTTTCTTGCGTCACTCGCTTTACTGTCAAGCTGTTTCAGTAGAAACTTTTCCTGGTCTCTTATCCTAGCACATAGAGAGTTACTTAGGTACATGATTTCATGTTTGGAGTTTTCAATAGACTCTTCTAAATGTGCTTCAATATGACCAACGCCATCAACACTGTCTAACGACAGCTGTAATGAACGAAGTGTTTCCATAATATTGTCAATATCATTTCGCGTAGTAGCAGCGTCAGTAACCGTAATAACGTTCTCACATCGTCTATGTGAAACTGCCAAACATTGAACACAGAGAGGGTCTTTACAATCAACACAAAACAGCGTAATATTTTCTCCATGCCTGTCACAATTCACTTTATTCTTCTTTCGCATTATTGTTTCTAGTGGCATTTTTCTCATTTCTTCCAACGATGACACTGCATGTGCGGACGTGATTTTTGAATGCAGATGGACTTTTGAACACGATTCACATAAGGCATCATTGCAATCTGAGCACCAGTTTACTGCAGTCACCTTTTCCTCTCCTCTCATGCAAATGTCACAAGATTTATCCTCGTGAAGAGCTTTCTTTAACTCTACCAATGTTGTCATAAATTGGTCATCCTTTAGGTTATCTGCATAATGTCCATCTGCGGCAAGAGCTGGTAGTTCTATATCCATATCACAAGATGGGCAAGAAAATTGGCGATGTTTTGAAGGTCCTAACACTTTTTCAATGTGATCATTTAAACATTCATAACAGAATGTGTGAAGACACGTTAACACTTTTGGCCTTCTAAACGTCTCTTGACAGAGACCGCAAATTGTAAAGTTCTCCGTCATGCTTGAAGTTGTTTGTAAAACATCCGGGGTGGCCATGTTAAGACAAACTGTCTTTCACTCTACTCCGGATCAATATGTTTCCCTTATACCTGCAAAATATCAAGAGTGTTCAATAAATTTAAATCAATAATAAATATACTTCAAGTGTTACAAATAAAACCTGAGGGAAACATTAAGTAGATTTCAAAACAAGAGTACGTTTGTATTTGCATTCGATCGATAGCCATATAAATGAAAACAAAATCGATGTAAGACAAAATTTATTATCACCCAGAATATAATTACGGGTAGGAAAAAATTTCATACAGATTTCGGTTGAGATAATATTTATATAAGATGGAAAGAAATTGTAATTGAAAATTTTTAATATATTTTGATAACCGTGATTTTATTCGGTTTGTATGTCCCCTGCATTGTTATTCGTCGATATACATTTAAATGCTATGCATAAATCATAATTTCAATTATGAATATACATATCTTGTTAATGACAAATGATAAATAAATTGCATGATTCATAACGTTATTTCTCACTTAAACAAAATATAAACTTTGTGGTTTCTTTCCAACTATCTTTTTTTTACAGTTACTTATGGAATTCTATTGAAAATCTCTTTAATGAACATAAATTTGTTTTCTAAAATGTTTTGGTTTAAAAAACGAATGTCTTTTTAGTAAAATGTTTGCAGTTGAGCAATTGAACATTTATCTATATAACGTTCAAGATGGCTTCGTTTGCGAAATGTCTGTAAAGTCTTTGAACCTTTTGACTTCCTCTTGAATAGGCTAGCAACTTTAAATCAACCAATTTCCTTTTGCGTTATTCGATAATGGAATGTTTCTTGATCCGCTTTCTTCTCTAAGTAAACAAAATTTAGAATTCATTTGGAGCTGTATGTGAACTACTTTATTGGGAATCATTCGCTAACATAGACAGAAAGAGAAAGGAAGTCTATCATTTAAGGTCTCAAATATTTACAGACTGCTAGAAGCCTTTCTATTAAATGATTATTTGGCGGGAATAAACACTTATATCTTATGTAATGCAAACCATTTGTAACAGTATGTATCAAGGGATAACAAATTAAACATTTGATTAATGATTTTCAGTACAGAACAATATTTCTTCTCGACTCTGACTTGTTCTAAAAGGTCATAATTATAGTGTTCAAACCTAGCAGTCAGTCAATGCCTTATCCATATGATCCTGTCAGAGAAAAAAGCGTCGATATGTCAAACAATTAAATAGTATACATATATATTCATCACAGGTTTCTTTTAATTTTCAAAGAAGAACGACGGGAAATTAGCGGCATTTTAAATACAACAATAAGTAATGCATACTCGTATCAACATCAATACAAAGGGCAGAAGATGCTTTCCTTCAAAATTGCAAAGCGATTCAATTTAAAGATATCATTGTAAATTGAACGGATCTATAATTGATGATGAAATCTCCACGTTTATTCATAGCGTGATAAATCACTCTGTATTTTATTTTAATTGCTGTTTCATTTGAGAGATATAGACATAATTTAAAAGTATAATGAGAGATTCTATCAGATAATATTGCGATGAAGTGACAGATATTATGACAGTTTAGTCTTTTTTATCAAACACAAACCAAATCGCTCTTACAAAAAAAAACGTAGATGAACACTCAAAAAACGATAATAATGGGATAAAAATAATACTCTTTCTAAAAACGAAGAAATTTTAAAGAATATTTCCGTATTTAATATGAAATTATTTTGCATAGCACTGAAAAACGAAGATAAACGTCAGTAATATTTGTGATCTTCGATATGAGGACAGAAGCTTTGCATATGACGGAATTTTGCATAAACCTGCGATCTTTATAACAGTCAATATTTGTGATAGTGTTGCCCTATTTATGTAAACCTGACAATAAATGTTTTTGCGTTTTCTCATGAAATGTTACAATTCATATCGGTATGTAATATTATGTATGTCTTCAGACGTGAAAATAATGTTGTTATTAACTGTGGTATGACTATGACAATAAAAATTAAAATGTGTATAGGTCAATATATGTATATACTGTATGTATTGTGTTGTAAGGGACACACCATCAGCACCTCCTTCCATTGCTTATTAACTACATTTTGTATATAATTGTGTAAATCATTTAATAAACAATTTGGGTGATGATGTTAAGCTACTCTACCAGACTATCAGATTTTGAATTTTTCTTATCTACTTATGGTAATCTCTCGATTATTATTTATTTCACCAGACATTTTAATTTGTTTTATTGGCCGACAGGTTTTAGTATAAAAGGATCTTAGTAATACAATGTAACATGAATGTAGCGGTATGCTAAAGCCTTTACCAGGTATAACGTGACATTTAACACCTATTTAAATAACTAAGATTTCTTTCTTTTAAATCAGATATTGTACAAGAAAAACATTTATCTAAATTGTTTAATCTTTCATTTTAAATATGAGACATATCGGAATACAACCTCTACCACCTTTTATTAAGTATTCAAAGCACATGTCATGTTTATTCAATAAAGCTGTCAGTGCATTTACTTTCTTCCAAAAGTGTTAAAGACTTTGTGCTAAATGGTTACAACCTAGCACAAAGACACGTACTTTGTAGACAGGTCATTAAATTTACTCATTATCTTCAAATAGTCTTTCAAAACTAATCAAAACTTATTCAACCGAATGAAACCAGAGGACAAAAATCAACCTAAAAGAACTAGGCCATCATTGTTATAGATGAAACGAGTTATCAAATACAAGTCCCTATTCTTTACAATTTCAAATATATATTTCTTTTCATTGTAGATAAACCGATATACCTCATTTGAATTCAAAAGTTAATTAAAAAAAAGATTCCATTTAATGCTTAAAATCAAGCGACAGTGATTTAAACGCCGTTTTATCGTCTATATCAATGGCTCTTTGTAAAATAGATATCGATTCGATAAATTAAGCAAACTAGAATTGCTTAAATTCTGTTGAAAATAATTTTGATAATAGTTTACGAACGGGTGAAGTTTTCCATATAGTATATGTTGTCAGGCTAGGGGTTCATTTGTTTGGTAATTCCAGTGTCAATATACATTGAGCGCGTTATCTTTGCCAAACTGTGCTATATTGGCAATTTACTGGTATATACAACATAGGTGCCTTTAAAGATAACGGATGTTTATTGCAAATATATCACAAGTCTAACTAAAATCTATCGGGCAAAGATATAATTATATATTAAGCAATATGATCGTTGTCACCAGCAAAATCAGACCGCGATAAAGTACAATTGTATAAATTGTAATAGATAATTTTCTCACTTCAAAATGCAGAAAGCAACGAATTCGAACTAAAACCATAAAATGTAGTTTAAAATATGCATAAACTTGCTAACTACTTGAAAAATACTTGTACTCTATTGACATATCTTTGTAGCACTGAAACCAGTGTTACGATCTAGATATCTGAAAAATTTTGCATTACATATCGAAAGGGAAAGACGTATTTTTCAACATTGATTCTCTTTAAACCTGGTCAGTCATAGTTAAAATGCGAATATAAAGTTGTTCCGTCAAACCTGAGTTGGTAATCATGGAACGTAGTCTTAAGATTAAATAGAATATTTATATAAAATTATGTATATTGATTACTGTTTAACAAGAACATTGAATGTCCATTCTTTTATGCAAACTTCTTTTTATTTAACTTTTTTGTGCATATATTCTGGTAAAATGTCCCTAAAGTTATTTAAATATTCAAAATAACCTGTAAGTTACATTAATTAGTATATGAGCATTTAAAAAAAGGATTTTTATCTATCGAAGTAGTGTTTTTTTTTCTTGGTTTTTTTGAGAAATTGTAACCGGTGTGTACTGTAAACTCATCTGAAGGTTCTTCATAGTTATTGTCCCTGATTTGATATATAAGAAAATAGTAAACCAAGGGATATCAATACCTTAATGTGTGTTTATTTTTTAAATGATACCGGACAAAAGGTACCTCAATTTTTGTGGTAAAATGGAAAATGATCATATCCTGTTTGCTCAGATCACGTTAATCCATGTTTAAATTAATATTTGAACGTTTCAACGTTTCGTAACTGAGTCGCGACATCCGTTAACATACGAAGCCCAAAGGTAACTCATTTCAGGTTTTTACAAATAATCGCCATTTTCCTTTTATTCGGGGACGCATAAATCATTTCTAGCCGCCAAATATGTAACTATAACGTCGGTCACTTGTCAGTAAGTCTCCGAAAATCTTGAACAGGCTGTCAACACGGCATTTAACAAACTGTCAACACGGCATTAAGCAATTTCCTCTTGTAACATTTGATAATTCATTGCTTCACGTTCTGCCTACCACACTCAGAATTATATCGTGCTGTATTTGCCAAGCTTTATGTGAAATCATTTGCCTTACATACGCAGACAGGAAAGGAAAGGAAATTGAAACGTTTTAAGTCTTTATTATTTACTAACTGCTAACAGGTTTTCTAATAAAACTTACCTTCACGGGGAATAAATACTTTGTTTTGCTTAACTAGTAATAGAACGTCATACAAATGCACCGAGAAATTATCAATGGCCGAGGGTATGTTAGTATGTAATAACAATAGTACAATGTGCTATGTATAAAATCAACGTATAAAGCCGTATATGAAACAGCGTTGTTAACATTTCAAAGCAGTGTAAACTATTATTTATTTCAAAGTAATATTTAAGTTCTTGATTTAGTTTAAACAGTTGTTAATTGTTGATAAATGTACACATTTAAGCGTTTCTTGCAGCAGTTTTTATGTCAGAAAAACATGTTTCGGAAAATACATTCCATTATGCTTAAAGAGAGAAACAGAATCTATAAAGAAAGCCCATCACGGTAATATAGAAAATGTTGCAGGTTTTGTTTGATTGAGCCTGTTTATGGACGGTACTGTAAAGTGCAAACTACCATTCACGCCAGTAGCACCGGCGTAAGCAAAATTCAACATTTAACATGAACTGGTGAAATTTTGAATTTTGAAACATCCGCGGCGGTTATCATGCTAAACCAATCATTTGATCTACGGTGTAATTGACAAAAGTAAAGAATAAATGGACCAATTATTTTGATTGACTTCTTAATCACGTCACACATAATTTCAGAAATATTGGTAAACTAGTGTTACAACATCCATTTCAAAAATCATCTTTCTGATCTCTCGGAGATCACTAAAAGCATTTTACACTTATAAAACGGCCACACTGTATGTATTGCTTGTTTGATACCATCATAATACCAACGGCTGTTTTGTTCATAGAGTGACAACAACTCACACATTAAACTAGCTTTTTTTCTTAAATGGCACGATTTCATTCAATTATACATTATTATTATGTTATTTCTTGTTATGGTCATTAAATATCAAGGAGGAAAGCAAACTTATAGGAAACTGGCTGTAAAATGTTTACAAAAGGTATCCTTATTTTAACACTCTTGAATACGATAAATATTTGACATCCTTGCGTGCAATCTTCATTCGGAACGTTCAGATGTTAATTCCTTTAATATTTCAAAGGCTTCAAACATAGACTTTAATATTATCATTATTATTATATAAATATTTTCTTTTTTACTAATTTAAGGAATAATCTTATCAAATAACTATAAGAATTTACACAGATGTTTATCAATCATTTGTTGATTTTTAAACGCTTTTGAAATATATTGTAAACCGATCCTTCTTAATAAGTTTTGATTGAAAGCGTAAAGTACAAAAGTGATCTGCTTATCCTTAAAATAGTGTTTAAAATGACACAAATGATTATCGTATTTCGATAAGCACATTTTTGTTAACTGTTCAAATATTTGCTGTTATAATTGTCAATATATTTATTGGTGTGTGAGGGGGTTTGTTATCGGAATCCGAGATTGACAACGCCTTTATAATGGAGTTTTCATTACCTTTATCATATCTACCGAACATTATGTGTACATATATAGGTAATTTATTATGATAGAATTTTAAGATAGAGATATTACTTAGTTATATTCAACCGGATATTTAAAATCCAAACCCTGAATTCCCACGCCATAAACATATGTGATAATGCATTTACATAGTTTAATTGGACACATTTTCATCAATTTTCCATTATATCTTATCTGTAGAGGGCATGACCTAATGTTTATGTATAACTTATATAAACATCTATACTGTATGATCGTCGGTTCGAGCTTGACTGGTGTCTGTTGTGTGACACTTAAATCACCGCACTACTTGGTATTTTAAGAACTTCATTCTCTTATTGATTTAATTAGACGTTGAGAGCATCTTAATGTTATTTTTAAAGTAGCAAGTTCCAAAAACACCCGCATTTCAAACGAGTAGCCTTTCGTTTCAGGTACAAATATGGGTAGCATGTAGAAAAGCCATATTTTTATATTTATTAATTAATTACACTATAAATAGTATCATAATATTGTATTAAATAATAGAGTACGCTGTTTTTGTATATCCACCAAATGATTCGAACGATTTATAACTCTTTTATATAAAACGTTGAAAGCTGACTCGTAACATTGAAAAATGTACTGACGTGTTTATTTATGAGTGAACAGTTTTTGCAATCTTAATAAAACCGTCCAATTTTGACGATGTTTAGAAAACATAATTCTACTCGCACAAGCGAACATAAAGTTATATCAGTACAGATACCTTAGATAAGAGTCACAAATAGATTAATATATTTTATTATTGGTACAATATTATCTGCTTTGAAAATTGTTAAAACTCATTTTAAGCTGGTGTACCACTTGAATAAGAAACGGTTCACTCTATTAACCAATAATATAAGAGTTAAAGTATAATTTAATATAAAAAATATTCTTTTCATAACTATTCAGCCAAATGAAACCACGAGATAAAAACGCATCTAAAAAGAACTGGGCCATCATTGTTGTAAAGGCAAATACAAGTCTATACCAACAGATCTAATTTCATTGCCGATTGGTAGGCCTCATTTAACGATAAAATGTTCCATTTATTTCATGAAAAGAGGACAATCTACGTGATTGTATTATAACTATGGAAGACGGTAATTTTAACTTCCTATAAATTATCACTACAATGACCTTTTGTAAAATAGAACGATATCGAGTCAATCAAACAAAAAAAATGGTCTAATTCTGTTGAAAATAATGTGAATGAAAATCCACAAACAGTTTTCCGTTTGGTTTTTATGTCAATGCGGGGATTTATTTGTTTTCTAAATCCTGTATAAATATTAATATCTCACGTTATCTCAGCAGACTGTGGGATATTGTCAATACACTGATTTATTGTATACCTATAAGTTTTCTGATGAAAATACGGTCATTTTAAGGAGTGAAAAATAAGGATAGTACCAAATAGACGTTTCCGTATTACGGAATTTGTATGACCAAAGTCTTTACGTCACGAACGTATGTTGACATTATATTTAAAAGTCTTTCATAACAATATATCGACAAGCTGGTACATATAATTTTCAAAAGGACCGATCTATATTGGGATATTCACAAACAACCTACACTTACACATCATTGATATATAACTTTATAACCCAGAAAACCACTTCAAGTGTACCTAACATTCCTCGTTATTGATATCGTTTGCGGGATATAACATTAATACAACTCAACATGCATTTTCTCTGATGTTTTTTTCTTCATTTAAACCAGTTTAAATCACACAAAAAAATCAATTTTTTTTCAGATAAGGAATAATATCAGATAAGATACTTTAAAATATACGTTTAACAATATGTAAACTGTTTAGCAAATAGAGTAAATCTGTTCATGAAAGGAATTTTGCTTTTCGTTTGACATAATTATTCAGTATATATATACTTCCCTGATTTTGTTTGAACGTTTTTAGGCATGTTTGAACACTTATATATTAAAATGTTACGAGTTATTAAGTGTGAACGGGACAGATTAAGGCAGTATTTGAATGTTTCGATTACATGACATCTCTTAATTTAGACTGATTGATTTAAAATTGAAGCAAAGGTAAACAATATAAGTATTATTTTTACTGTGGCGGCTATTTTGTTTAAATATACGGGTTACCCTAAAACTAACCATTACCGTAATTCCGTGTTTTCGACATTTTGGCATTTTCGTTTTCGCATTATCGTGTGAAATTTAATATCTGATTTTTTTTACATTTTATTGCAATTGGCTGTCCGATTATTATGCTCCTTTCACAAGAGTATTTCACACATGGGTATTGGGTGCACAATACTGTGACAGCGAACAAATATTTAACAGACTAACACTACACAATCTCGTCATGTTATTATCCAAATTCATAGAAAATGTTCAATTTATCTGTATAATATAAGATATAGACATAAAATTGTCAAAATTTATCTAAATATATCGAGATAATGTCAAAGTTACGTACTTGTAGCATAGATACTTAGTCATTTAAAGTATTTGTCTTGTGATCTAAGTTTTTTTTTAAAATAACTAATAGGCAAAACGTCAGGACAAAGATGCCTTTTGGTAAGAACAATTAAGATAAATTAATTATTTATTTTAAATAATACTTGCATTAACACAGTGGCAAATGGTTATAATACACCAAGCCTAAATTTGAAATGCATCCGGTTTTCTAACATCTTTTGTAAAACATTATTTATTTTGGATCGAAATAAAAGAATTACACAAAAACACGGCAAATCACAGCTGTGCTGGATATGAGCGTTCTTATAAGGAGAGCATTCAATACATACAAAAACGATTGTTAAGCACTTCGAGCACAAAGTTTAAAACCAAATTTGACAGATGTTAAATATCTTATGATAATTAATTATTATTGAAGATTTTGTTATTATGAATAAAATATCTTTTTAGTGACAGATTGTAACGGGTTATGTCTAGATTCCGGATCAATACTTAACTGCCACGCCCCACCCCATTCCCACTCCTCTCCAAACCTTAATATTTTTTCCGTTTGAATTACTTGACAAATGCATGGTAAAATTAATGATATATAAACTATGGCATCAAATTTATTTACCAAGAAAAAAATGTGAAAAAGGCATGTGTCGAAACCTCGCATCAAATTTCTACATTCGTAAATATTAGCTTGAAAACAATGTAGAATAATCTTGGTTGAGCTTCGTAAGCGCTTGTTGTCGGCTATAAATGTTTGTTAACAAAATACTTTTATGAACAGGTTTATCGTCAGCAACTTAATCCCGACCCCTTTTCTTTAATAAAGCGGGCAAAAGTCTCATCAATAGAACTCATGTGTATTGCATAACATAATACAGTATGATTATACATTTTGTAGTCGTATGTCGCATTTGCGTATCACTACACATAATTTATTAAGAAAAACAAAGCCACAACTAGCAGTGGTGAACATATAGGGTAGTCGTGAACCAAGCATTTTCTTTTAAAATAAAACCACACATGGTTGAGATATAGCTTTATTCAGCTTTATGAACAGAACTGCATTTAAAATTGACGTTTAATATTCCTAAACAACAATCTGCTATTAATCCCATATCAATATTGTACTAAGTAAATGTTACTGTATATATCTTAATTACAGCAATTTTGAATAAACAGAAAAATTCTTAAAAACTGAATATTTAAAATCTAATAATTGTTTACCAACCTCTGATAAACCGAAAATCCTTTGATCATTTGTTTACCAGGTGTTTCCTCCTTTTGCTCGCATTAGAAGAATTCAACATGTATTAAAGAGTTAACCGCTTAAAAGCTGTACAATTAAAGAGTAACAAAGTTTCAATTTTTCTTTGTTTAAAATCACACACCTTATTCACGCTTCGACTGAATTATAAAATGGCATTAAATACATATTTAAATCTAATATAAACTTTGGGCCCGATCGCTGACCGTTGAAATTCTTTATCGATTGATCTACCTGTAAAAGTAGGGTTTATCTCGTAAGAAATTAAATTGTGTATCAGCAAATTTATTAAATCTCTAAACATTTTGGCGCGAATTTTATTACATTGTCGTCTGCATATTAAACTTAAATGTTTGCTTACTTGGAGTGAAACGCCTAGCATTGGTAAAGATTCAATGGCCTATAAGAGAGATTAAGATGTAAGACATGGGAAAACATATTTTATTTTCGACATGGATAAAACACTTTATGGCTGAATGGATTATAAAATCATTTTCGGTTTATTTTACGATTAACGTTCAATATTTTCATGTATAAGAATAATATTTAATCCACTTTTTGAGAAAAAATATGAATAAACTTATTCAATGCTATCAAATGTCAGTTTAATACATTGACAATGAATAACTAACTAGTCAGCACATAAAAAGACACCGACATACCGTTTTATGAACTTGAACGACCTTTTCACTAGACTTGTTGACTTGATAATGAGAGTCAAAGTGGGGGCAACATGGCTCAGCCATAAACGTAGCTCATTTTGTTAAACGGTGCCAAATGAAGTAAGTTAATAAGTGATTATTGTTACTGATTATTTTATATTTGTATTAACGTTTGTGTGATCTTTTTAAATTTTGCTGAGTTAGCAAAAGATAAAAATAAAAAAAGAAAGAAAGGAAGAAAAACACAGTGTGTCGTTATATAGAATTTGCACTTTTCAATGTCAAAATATTCTTTTAGTCACCCTATGGTAAGGGCATATTGATATTTATGTTCATGTACTAATGTGATGATACTATGCTTAAGAATAAATGGTACACTAGTAGCCGCATAAGTAGGTTTTTATCACTTAATACTGCAGTTTATTGGCGGGCGTATATTTTATAACATACTTATAACAAGATATAGCTCTGTGATTTGTAATGAGTTGTCTGTTGTTGTTGTTTTTTTCTTTGAAGAATTAGAAACCGGTCGAAAAAAATACTCCATGTGATGCTTTTTTATGAAATAGCATGCAGTCAATTTGTCATATCATTTGTTTATTTTCAAAACACCTTTATCCTAACGCTTGATGTTTTCTTAAAATGAAATATTTGATTGAATGAAAATTGCTGAATGGTGATCACAATAATGAATATAGTATACGGCATTGAATATCACCGACTGACATATTGATCTATAGTATTAAGTTGTGCTAAACGGTGTCTCGATAATTATATTAACTATTCAATTTGGTTTAATCTAAAATGATTTCACAAATATTAAGAAATATAAAAATGTGCCCCGTGTTAAACGGCATTTTAGTTAAATAGATAGTTTTAGTTTTTAAAAGAATCATTGAAAAAGACATACTTTTCTTTTGATCGGTTTAAGGAAAAACATGTCCAACGAAAAAAGTAATAAATTATCTCTGTAACATTTATTATCATGAAATTGATGCTGCTGTTGTTATTTACTCCCCTGAGAACTGATAAATTGCAAAGCTGTTCAATTAATCTACCAGTATAGACCAGTACAGCGAGCAAAATGACGTTAAAGAGAATAATTATCGCACAAATTAATACACTATAAGGTGTTATAAACTTTGAAGAAGCACAGAAAATTAAAATTTTATTTGGGATATAGTTTTGTACAGTATGTATCATGCTCCGAAATCGGTTATGTCGAAATGTCGAAGTTTATCGATGAAAATGATTTCTACACACCAACCCTCCGTTTTATTTGTTGCTTGTTTTATTTTATCTTTACTTTTTATTATTATTATTATTGTTTGGTGTTGTTGTTTTTGTTGTTCTTGTTGTTCTTGTTCTTGTTTCCTCTCACGATGTTGTTGTTACTTTTGTTTCTTTCGGTTGTATTTTAATTTTCTGTTGTTGGTGGTAGTTTTTGTTGTTTTGTTGTTGTTCTTGTTGTTTCCTCTCACGATATTGGCATTTTAATATAACTTCTGATCAGCAAACATCAATGTCTTATTTTTCAAATCAACGGTTATGAAGAAATACTGAAAATTCTGCGTTACAAGTGTGAATGACTACCTTCCGACCGGCAAACTTTGACATTGCCCATTAATAAAACATTATAAATCATTGTTCGAATCTAAGATGAAATCAAATGAATCAACTTAATCATCATTTCTCAAGAAAAAACACGTTTGTATCCTCCTCAAGATTACTCAAATTGTTTCAAAACTCCGAATCTGTCAGCTAACTATACAGTCGTCGTCTTTTTTATCAATGTTCGTAGCTGAAAGTTTGTGAAAGTCTGAGTTGAAAAAGTAGAAAATGTTTATATTAATTAACCCGTTCGGGATAGCTGTCAAAGTTTGAAATGGAGCAATGTCCTATAAGCGTATTAATTTCCTTTTATTTCGTAAGAAGTCGGTATACTCGTCTACATACAAGAATCAGCCATATTATAAATTGTGTACCGCGATTAAGCACTGTAGGATTATTATTTTTTTTTTTCAATTTTTTTTTTAAATATTAAACATCGCATTTTTTATATGAGGTTTTGTTTGTAGGATATTTTGAAAGTTGAATATGTTTAAAGTTACACCGACAGTTCAACGCTCATAAAGTGACTTTTTAGCTATACTCTTGTATTTCTCCAGATACGACTAGGAATATAGATAAACTAACATACATTAAATAATCACTTAAAAGTTACACCACGGAGATTTTTAAACATGAAGGGACTGGAAATAATATTTCGAGATCTATGTTACATATGATGCAGGTCTGGACCATTAACATGTGTGCGAAATTTCACAATAATCATTTTTCTTGAGCAAAATGACCCAAATCGGGCTAAGAATAGCATAAAAGGATTATCAATATATGTCTCTTTATTATCTCTTGCATACCCTTCTGTTTTTACTGTCCCAGCTGATCTATGTAGGAAATTCAATTGTTATGATTCTTGGGCTTTTTAACCACAATGGAGTTCCATCTGGAAAGATAACCGGATAACGTCCTCGTACAAAAGCTCCTCCATAATGAGACGCGAACTGAGAAATATTTGCTAATCAACCTATCACATGATGAAACAGAACCGATTCCTTATATTTTTAATGTTCTTAAATCTCAATATATTAAATTCTCATCATGTATTCTAAGTTCGACCGGTTGCACTGTAGGAATAGTTTATGCATACCTAACCGCTCCCTTTCCCCGCCCCCACACTCCTCCATGCACCGGATTATACAAAACTCAACATTCAATATATTAAATGGAGTGGGGTTTTTTTTAGATTAAGATACACGGAAGTGTTTATATATGTTAAGGCCTCAACAGACGGTAGGATTTTGAAGTACAACACCAATTAAAACTAAGATGTACAGACAAATCTTAATGTGTGAAGGCTACTATTTCTTGATTTCGGAAACCTTATGTCGAGATGTAAGGGATAGGACATGTTCTATTTTGAAAATCTTGTCGTACCGATTTTTACAGACCTCCCACAATGACAAGTAACAGATAAGCAAATTATCTCCTGATAATGGATGTAATGAATGAAATTCCAGAACAATTAGGGCTAAAAGGTAAACAAAGTAGTAAGATGGGGTGAAAATGATGTTGAAAAACTCTTCAGGAGACCCAAAGTTGTGTTGTGTTCGAATCCCAAATTATTCCGAAAATGATTATGTCACGGTATTGAGTTGTTCTCTAATTACATGAATTTGGGGAGGGGAGGTAGTTTGTAGGCTGCCACATAGCTTAGTCAGTAGAGCCGCAGTACGGTATTCCGAGGGTCCCAGGTTTGAGTCTCGGTCAGGCTTCACATTAAAAAAAAAAATATATATATATATTTTTTTTTAATGGAGGTGTTTCAATCATTACTCATGGCGAAAAAAAAAAGTATTAAGTGAGTAAAGTATGTAAAGAATCAATGTAAAGGGACCCTTTTCAGGTGAAACCTCAGAAGATTCTTACAGTATAGAATTACCGTCTGAATGCAAGTGTTGTATAGCTTTGAAAATTGTACATCTTATCTCTAATTAGTGCTGTACAACTAAATCCTACCCTCTGTTGAGGCCTTTATACTTGCAACTATATGGTAGCTATGAATATTATCATTTATAGTTCATGCTGAATTGACTTTCATTAGAAAACATAATTGAATATTATGTGACGTATACAACAAACTAAATTATTAACTCTTTGAAATTATGTTTTGAACAGACGTAAGATCGCATTTACAATTTTATGTCTTTAAATACTATCTATATTGTACCACATTCAGATTGATTTTAATTTAGAAGATGCTACAATAGGTCATGACGCGCGCATGACTTAACATTACTCATATAAGTAATTTACTTACCTTCGTCCTGTTAACTGTATTTCCCAAAATTCTAAATACAAAATTTGCCATAATTTGTTTATCACAAGAAACTAGATTTCTCACGTGAAAGTGTACATGTATTAAGATTTCACTATCGATCTAACATAGCAGACATGATAATACCGGTTTAATTGCTTTATATATATTGGTAGTTCAGTTATCAAATATTTACCGCTCGGTGTTTACAACTTTCATACAAATTACAATGGTTTTCAAATTGTATTGAACGGTCCCATTAATGGACTAGGATGATTTTATTGTGCCCTCACGCTGAGATCGATCATTCCATTTGATAGAAGTCATATTTCTCTCTTGTCAATGTTTGTTTTGCTCACACGCAGACGACAGTGTTAGAATAATATTTTAAGAGCAAAACCAAATTGAACAAAATTGCTTAATAGAACATTTAAAGGTAAACGCTTAAATTACAATAAAAACACCAGAAGGATGGTTATAGTAAAGGCAATAGTAAAAGGATTTATATTAATCCGTCGTAAAGGTGCATTCTTTTCGAAACGACTGAATAGACAAAGTGTAATTATTGCAATGGCATTGCTGAAAGGCTGTAATTTATTTTTCTCAAAAACATCTAAATATTATATTTTTCCATTGTAATATTTGATAAATGGTTTATGACAGCAACCTTTTATATAAATATACATAATAACAAATATTTTTAAAAGTAGATAAAATTAGATGATTTTCTCGTCAAAACAAATAAGTATGTTGATAGTTTTTTTAGCGTCAGACATAACAACAAAACACGAAAAAGTTATATATGGCTGTTGTTTGCAAGTGTGAGATTCATTA